CTAGGGGTACAACTACAGGTTCTTAATCAGTCTATCTGCTCAATCAATTCCTTAGTCTAATCAGTTCGCGAAGTTCAATCTAGTAGTGGGAGCGCACTTGCGCGTGGGAACGCAGGACCTTACACCATAAATTACATCCCTGAGGGATGTACTCAATGTTCGCTGGCATGCGGAGGTCGTGATGTCCTTCCTACCACAAGCTAGGTCACATGCAGAGGATGAAGTAACAACCAGCAAAAAGAATGAACAACCCTAGAACCGCCAAAGAGTCTAAATGAGCTATAATCTAAATTCCTAGAATCCTCCTTAGTACAGCCTAAAATAGTTCCCCATCTAGTCCCCCATATAACCCCCTTTAAAAAGCTTAGAACATGGCTCAAATGAATCCCAGGCAGGGCTTAGCCCCAGTAACGCAAAAGACACCGGTTGCTTCCTCCAATGCAAGGCTTGTTGCCCTTTCCACATCTGTACCTTCGAATTATTCTGGGTGAGCCCTGTAGATCTGGAGGGTCCCTAGGGTTTAGGGTTTAGGATTTAGGGCTTAGGGTTTAGGGTTTATGGGACCCCTGTTTTTTGGAAACGCCCTTCACCTGAGACTGCAAATTGCGACGGCCACCGAGCTACCGCTTGCCGGAGCGGGTGAACGGTTGGCAAGGTGGGCCTCCGCTTAGAGGAAAGTTTTCCCAAACTTACTGGGGGTTAGCAGCAGATAAGGGACTACATATATGTATATATACATACGTTTACATATATACATATATATATGCATCTATATATATATATATATCTCTCTCTCTCTCTCTCTTTAAATAGGGGTTACATAGGGATTCTATTCCCATATTCCCTACTAACAATCAGTAAGCAAGAGTGAGACTCCAATTAGGATTCAGGTTTTAGTCCTGAGAGTTCAGTCTCAGGTCCAAATACCCAAGAATGGTACATACTATGGGTCCAAAGATGTTCCTACACAAATGTTTCGAGGCCTAAGTCCATAATTTTTGGGCACAAGGAACATTAGTCGCTTCCTCCTGTTTGAGCATAGCACACCCTCATTATTAAATTCTCCCCCTCTCGGCATTATGTTGGAATAGGAATATCAAATAGCAAGGGCAGGCTTTATTCAAGGCAGTTCATCAAACCCCTATATTGCCCTACATAACCCCTATAGAACCCCTGTGTATCCCTACGTAACATCATCTCCACGTAGCCCTTCAAAGGGACAACCATACTCCTCTCCCCTTCTCCAGACAATCCACAAACTCTTAAAAGATCCTAGAAAGGACCCCCCCTAAACCCTAAACCCTTCCTCCCAATGCCCCATGCGTTGCAGATGGGAAGCTTGAGGTGCTGCCAAAAAAAGCCCTTCTCAGCACTGAAGTGCAACATCCGACACTAGGGTTTAGGATTTAGGGATGAGGATTTAGGGATTAGGATTTAGGGTTTAGGATTTAGGGTTTAGGCTTTAGGGTTAGATATGACGCTGAGAGATTAGATACTGTATGTGATGACAGTCATGACCCTGGCAAGGGAAGTGAAAGCTGCATATTCAATTCGACCCTCCCATCAGGCACATGCAAAAACTCACAGGCACTTTCAGACCTTAACTCCTGAATGCTAAGCCTTAAACCCCACAACCCTCCATAGAAACCTGGACCCTAGAGCCAATATCCCAGACCCTGAACCCAAGCCACTGAACCCTGAATCCTGAAGCCCTAAGCCCTAAACAGCGCAATCCAGGCTCCTGGCTCATGAGCCAGACATCTGCTGCTAGGGCCTCAGGATTGGGGAGCTTACCAAAATATTGCCCAATCTTATTCTTCAAGGGGACAACGGCAATCTACCGAAAATCCTTATAGATCCCTATAGGCACCAAGAATGCACCATCTTGTTTGACGATTTCATCAGATTCTGGACTGCCTACCCCAGTGCTTGGAACGGAATCAAGCTCTTTCAAGCTTTGGGGCATATGAGCTATAGTCTAAACTCCTAGTATCGCCCTTATTGACCTATATCATCCCCCATATAACCCCCCGTAAGGAGTTTAGGCTATGGCTCATACGGAATCTAAGTCCTCACATGCCCAGACACCAATTCATACCATCAATATAGAACCAGCACATACTAGGTGGTAGACTTCTTTTTTAGGGGTGGGGGGGGGTATTGTTCATGCGCAGCTTAGCTTGCCCAGGTTTGGCTGCATCGCGGGTGTTCCTTGGGTGGCTAAATCATGAAATCGACTGTGGGTCCAGCAGCGACAGCATCAGTTAGATGATGTTTCATTGTCTCGGGAAAGACCTATACCTGGACCCCAAAAGTACGTAAAATAATGGCCTTTATGGCTGTTATTCTGGGTTTAGGGCTATTATTTTACATACTTTTAGGGTTTAGGTAGGGGCTGGACCATTCTCAAACCCAAAATACACCGTACCAGGTATTGAGGCATCTGCAGATCCGAAACACAACCCCTAAACATCCGTCACAAATGCTTCCTCTCAATCAGAGGTCTTGCACTGCAATAAATCTTCGTTCTCAACCCCAAACACCCCTTGTCAGAAACCTTTGCCTACAGGATCAGTGCACAGTAAGCTTCCGGGTCCTCCCAAGGGCGGATAACTCTTTGGATGCCCTCCCCCGATTTCAGAAGAAGGTGCATCAAGTTCTTGATGTCGTAAGCACTCCTTGGTGTGAAAGGTGCATTGGGACTGCGATAGCAGAGTTGAAGACTGTCATGAAGAAGAGTCCACAAGGTATGCAGAGAATGTAGGGGTTACATTTGGAGAATGGAGAAGAAAATGGAAACTACTGTAGTATATAGGGTTATATAAAGGAGTTATATAACGAAAAGCTGTAGTGGGTGCAGATTTTGAAGATGTAGGGTGGAAGAGGCATACTAGCTGTTTGCAGAATCCCTAAACCCCAAACCCTAAACCCTAAACTCTAAAGCCCTAAACCCCAAACCCTAAACCCTAAACTCAAGACCTCCGGGTTGGTTCATGAAGGCCTGGAAAAGGGGGACAACCTATTCGAGAGCCTAAGGGTGCCCCACATCGATCCTGATTCTTGGGTTCCCTCCATGGTCTGCACATGCTTTGTGCCCTTCGTAGCTTACGCGAGATCACAGGGGGTTAAGAGTCTTAGCCTTGCAGAAACTTCCGCTAATCTAGAAGAAGTCCAACAAAAAACAAACTGATGCCAACATCTCCTTCCCAGAGCTTTCCTGGAGGTGTTTTGCTTGAACCGCCAGCGGAAGCCCAAAGATCCCAACTCCAACCGAAGCCCCACCTCGTTTTCTCCAAAAAAATGGATCTGTTTTGAAATTTTTGTCCTCACAATTCAGGACAGTAGTATTGGGCAGGTCTTTATATCTATGTATATGCCTAGACCTCCGAACTGCACCGTAGAGCATCTTTCCGTGCTTGGATGCTAGAAGCTATGATTGTGGGTATTTGGGAGGTCTAGATACATATTAAAAGGGGAACCCTGGGTTTTTAGAAAATCAAACACACACACACAGAGACAGCGACACACACACACACACACACACAGACACAGACGCAGAGACAGAGACACAGAGACAGTAAACCCTAAACCACAAGCCGCCAACCCTAAACCCTAAACCCCACATCCCAAACCCTAAACCCTAAGTCCTAAACCCTAAACCCTAAGCCCTAAACCCTAATTGGCTGCAGCCTTAACGCGATTGTCTTCTTCCGCCAGTCTGTGCTGCCAAAGTTGTAGCAGTAGGCCTGCTGCTGTATGATGTGGGGACCTAAACGGCTAGGTTCTGGGGTATGCTATAAACATACATTTACCACAGAAATATAAGTATGGTAATACAAATATAGATGGGTGAACGGTTAACGCCTTTCAGGAAATGGGATTTCTATTAATTGGGGTACCTTGCGGCACTGATGACAGATGGGGAGTTTATGACGGCCCTATCGAGGATTATGTACAGCTGTTTGAGAGATGGCCGCGGAATTCCTTCCACGTTGCCCCTAAACTGCGCAAGAGAAAAAACAGCTTACAAATGCTCATTCAAGAGCGCAAGGCGCAATAATCCCCCATCCACGGCGGGCATGATGAAGTTTCGGCGGCCTCAGACACCCTGCCCCCTCTGTCGCTCCTTGCTTTTTGGCTTTTGGCTGCGGCAGCGTTGTGAAGTCATTTGGGCCCATGATGCGGGCCTACTACTTAGTGGTGGTTAGTAGGGAATGAAGAATAAATTGTACAAGTTGTTCTGAGGAATGTAGGGACCAAGTACTATCCTCCATTCCCTAGTGACCACCAGTAAGACTAATCCATGGGCATCCTGGGGCGTCCGCTGTTGGAAGCCGCAGGGGTGCGGGGGATGCTTTCATGGGGGGATTCAAGTTAGGGTTTAGGGTTTAGGGTTTTAGGGTTTAGGGTTTAGGGCTTAGGGTTTGTGACAAGGCTTCGTAATGCGATTCAGAGTGTGCAACAAAGCTTCATGAGTAGATTCAAGGCATAGTATAAAATACTATAGTATACTATAATGAAATATACGATTATATCCTAGAAAAACATAACGTACTAGAATATCCTATAATATAGTATACTCTGATCTATATTTTAATATGCTATGTTTACTATACTTCGTGTTGGAAGGAACAGGGGCTCCTTGAATCCCCTTGCCTCCCCATGCTTCCCCGTGACTTGCTCACAGCGGTAAAGGAACAAACGCGTTCACTCTAGGGAAACGCGACGGGGGCCTCAATCAGAAACTGTAGTTGATGCTGCCTTGCAGACTAGAGTCTCCCTTAAGTAGATAGAATATGGGGTATAATTATAGGGATCTTATAATAGTATACCCAGAGCCATATTCTATCTACTTAAGGGGGACTATACATCTTCAGCACTGGCACCTTGACATGAAAGACTCGGACATGACAAGTAACATGAGCAACCATTGAGCCCCAATAATCTGCGTGCACTGCCCACAGGATGCGTGGTCTATCCGGTCTAATGTGACAGGATATCTAACTAGCATTCCAGCTACTTTCAAATTCATATGCGCGGTGGCGCATCTCTGCCTGCCGCACGAGATAATCACAACGGCTGCGGCCGACGGCACGACGGAGTCCACTCATAATGTGACTGTTGAGCTCCACCCGCCCTGTCTTGACAAGCCTTAGAAAGGCTTCCTCAGCCTTCGATGTTTGCTTGGGAGTTGCCTTCGCGTATGCGATCAAAAGCGTGTATAAGAAGAAGTCGTTCACGTGGAGCCCTTCCTGCTCCAAGCTATCACCCAAGACCTCCACTTCATACCACATGCCCCTCTTGGCGAATGCTTGAGCCAAAGACGTGTACGTCACGATGTTCGGCCGGATGTTCCGCTGCTGCATAAGGGCAAACACTTTCTTGGCACATACCGTATTGCCCTGCCTGGCACATGCGTCTAGTAAACTGCTGTAGCTCACAGTGTCGGCTCTCACTCCGCAACTCTCCATGTCCTGCATGGCGCCGAGGGCGCCATTGACATCTCCAGCCTTTGCATACGCATTGACCATGGCCGTGAAGGTCCGAACGTTTGGGGAGAATCCCTTCCTTAGCTCCGGACTGACCTTCCGCATCAACTCAAGCATATTGTTGACTTATTAGTTGGCCGTTTACCTGCTACAGCTGCTACAGCGTACCCGAGGTTCTTGAGCATTGCGCGGTGCCACTCAATTGCCTTAAGTGGCTGCCCTGCCTTAGCACAGGCATCCATCATCGCGCCAAAGCTCACGACTGACGGTTCGACCTTGCCAGCCTGCATCAAGTACATGAACCTGGTTGCCGCAGAATACAGGTCACCAAATAGATTAGATGGGTGGGCATGTGCCTCTAGAGTACCTTAGTTATCATGTAGGCAATGCGAACATAAACAATCAGGAAAAGCTTCCTATGTGTCCTGGAGTTGACCAAAGCTGTCTTGCTACGAAAAAACATGTTCTCAAAACCTGCAAGGAACTTCTCGGCACCTTTGACATCTCCGAACTTGCCGTAAGCATCAATCAACATGGTGCATGCTACCGTCTTGGCTTTCCCATTGGAGCTCTGCATCAACAATGATAAGAAGCTCTCTGCGGATGCGGGATCACCGTCCTTAAGCAAGCAGGTTTGTGACTTTGGGTTCAGGTTCTTTAGGGGTCGAGATCTGGCCACTTGCTAAGGCTCTGGTTTCCATGTCCGTTCCCATGGCAGAAGCATTCTATTCTGAGGATTTTGGAAATTGCTTTCCTGCCGTGGGGCCTTACTGTAGAAATGCCTGCCACACCATTCAAAACAGAAGTCCATGTATCTCTGTCTTGCTCAAGAATACCTTAACCGCAGCTCTGGGCAAATAATGACCCCAAAAAGGGGCTTCAGGTGAAGGACATAGCAGACATCCCAAATCATCACCCGGCTTCTCTGCAGTACCCTGAAATCATGGCGATGTAGCAGCTCTCAGTCGGCTTGTACCCGTCGGCCATCATTCTGTGGAACCACTCATGAGCCGACTCCACATTTCCATCCCTGACCCAACCTGCATCTTAGTCGGGATCATTTTTTCTAGGTTCAGAGATCTGGGCCCCTTGTCAGGTGGGCCTCAATATAAGCTGGCTCATTCTGTGTATGTCCATATACGGACAGACTCTTGTCTTTTAGCTAGTTTTGCAGTCCTTGACAGGTGTACCAAACAAAACAATTTTAAGTTTTGCCAGGCTTGCGACCTTCGATAAGCAGTGCGTAAGCCAAAGGCATCGGCGCAAATCCAGCACATACCATCTGTTCAAAGCATTTTACCGCTTTGCGACACTTCCGATTCTGAACAGCGGTCTTGAGATTCCTTGGCTTTCCCAAGGATCCAGTTACCTAAGCACCGACTTTACGGCGCCACCATATCCTGCGGTACAAGTCTGGGAATAAAGTTGGGCAAATTGATCGATTCCCCCTACCATTAACCTCCTCCCCTGAAATTAAACAATGAATCCATGGTCCTAAATTTCCTGAAGCTTACTTTTAAAAGGGGAAGACTGCTTTTGAAAGGGGCCACCTGATAATGAATTGGGGGCTCAATGGATAAAACAATAAGTATGTACTTGATTGATTGCTGAGATAAATAGCTATTGTAATTAGATACATGTTCTAGTTCATCGACTGATTCGTCAGATTCCTCTGAGTTTAAAAGGATATTTAAGGCAGGTCTATCTATTTCTTTAAATAAATACTCCCCCCCCCCGGGAAAAACACATGCTATTTGGGCACCGATGTTTTTACATGAGGGGCGGAGGGGGGGGGGAGGTGGACGTAGTTCCATATCAGGGGGAACCGATTACTCCGGTGCTCGACATGACGATCGATCTCCAAGCGTCCGGAAGAGCTCGTCGTGCTTTGCATGGCCATCCACGAGAAGTTGGCTTTGGCTTTGGCGCGGGTTGCGTCTGTGGCTGGGCAAATCTTGTGTGCCCTGCACGGCCGCGAGGATGAACCAGCGCTGCAAGAGGAAAACGGCCACGCCCTTGGCGGAGCTCATGATCGAGGTAATGAAGCTGCCATGGTCGGAACTCGGCATGCTGTTCTGCTGGAGCCCATCCATTGTCAACTTTCCTTACACCATTCTTTCTTCAGGAAACTCAGGGAGTCTAAGCAACAGCCGGGTGAACAAATGTTGCCAAGGCGGGCAGAGATTCCCAAAATCATCCCAAAGAGGATCACAACGACTTCCACAATGTAATCCTCAACACCTTGTGCGGGTGCAGGACATGTTAAGAAGTACATCTATTTAGACAACTAAAGTGCTTGAGTAGGACCCCGGCTGACATGCAAATGCAACAGCAAGACTCGATGACAGAATCTATGCTTCTAGGCCTTCTACGGTCGATTACAACCCTCTCAGTTGCGAACTCTCACTCTGTCTATCCACTGAAGCAGGACTGCACTGCGGTGTAGGCACACTCGGAGTCTGCCAACAACACGAGTCCCACAAGGCATGCCAGAATTGCACAAGGCCACGTGATTGGCGGACCGCGAACCTGGAGTCGACACAGAATGCGAGAGACAAAAGATTCAATAGCAGTTACCATTTCAATTTCCAGTATCCCAATATAACCCTACTATTATCTCAATGGGTACCTTTATCCCCTATATACCCCCCCTCTCCCAGGAGTTTCTCTGGGCTAATTCCCAACGAATGTTTTTTTGGTCTTGGGCAGCCCCCTGTAGACCACCGAAGCAATGTTAGGTAGGATATTTTTGCATGGTTTCCGTACATGGACCGATGCATCCACTGTTGAATACTCCGACGGTGCCCCGAGTAACCTTGCCCAACATGTCCGCCAAAGCCTGGGTTGCTGTTAAGGAACTTAAATCAAGTTACCATAATGCGTACATATATATATATATAGAGTAACTAACAGGGTTTTCCCAATACAGCAACTTGAATTAAGCTCCTTAACAGCAACCCAGAAGCTTCGGAAGCGTCCCTTGCCATGAGAGATGTTCACGCTGGGCGGCGCCCTGCAGCTTCTGACAAAAAGCCTCGCCTTACCCAGCTTGAGCCGCGATTCATGTCAGAGCTGACGTTCACTGGGTTGCTGTTATGGAACTGCTTAATTGGCAGATGAATCTGATTTCCTGAATTCTGGTAATCTACTGCAAGTTCCTTAAGAGCAACCCGGTATCTAGACCCCCCCATACCCACCGCTTGCTTAGGGACACCTAATTTGTATGTACAAGATACTGCACATTAAGTTCGGCACCCAAATGAGCGGTAGGGTACAGGGGTCTAGGCAAAGTGGGGTTTCCACACTGGGGAAAGCTCCAGTTAGGGGACATCCAGAGGATATGAGCCATGGTCTAAACTCCTAGTATCCCCCATAATAACCCCTATAGTAGTCCCCCATATAACCCCCCTTTAAGGAGTTTAGACTGTAGCTCATATGGACAAGTGTTCCCACGATGCCTTCTCACAGAGCTCCGAGACATCGAAGGCTGCGACGATGGTCACCTGCAGCGTCGAGGGTCCAGGATGTTAGTAACATTTGTATCTTTCAGGGTTCCGTGCCAAGCTCTAGGCTTGTAAGGGCAGACTCAATTCTGAGGGAGGTAGATAGGCTGCAAATGATTGAAGGAGTTATGGTTGGAGTTGTGGGTTGAGGGTTTAGGGTTTGGGGTTCGGCCAAATCATACTATCGGGAATTGTTCCCTATGAGTTCCCGATGTAAACCCCCAATTAAAACCAGTTTCCACAGCATTTGCCATGTCGTTTTCGATTTGATTCTACATTGTTGAAAACAATCTAGATATACATTTTACATATCTCTCTGTAGACATCTCTATGATTCCTTTTCGACCCCCGTATGGGGACCTAAGCTTTCCATTTTCAATTTGATTCTCCATTATTGGAGCCTATATGTCCAAATGCACTCCTGTAGTGTCCCTTTCATTTTCCATTAACCCTAAACCCCAAACACTGAACCCCTAAACCCCTAAACCCTAAACCCCTAAACCCCTAAACCCTAAACCCCTAAACCCCTAAACCCCTAAACCCTAAAACCTAGTAGGTTCCATTTTAAGGTTTCCCATTCTTTGTAGATCTTCTGCTTTGCTAGCTACCTCTCCCGAAGCTCCTGAGCTCAAGCAACGTGGGATCATGGGGGTATATAATGATGGTTATGTGGGAGTTTCCCAAAATTAGGGGTACCATTTTAGGGGTCCCAATAATAAGGACTATAGTATTTTGGGGTCTATATTGGGGTACCCTTATTTGGGGAAACTACCATGTAGGCTTAATAAGGATTAAATCTAGGGAACTGGAAAAATGGAACCTACTACACTATTCAAGGTTCACGATTTAAGGGTTAGGGGCATTACATGTGAGCTTGTCGGGAGGATCTCCTGGCCAAGAAGCTTCCTGATCTTGCACCTCAAACAAGCATTCTAACAGTAAAGCCGGGGAAGCAGCGGATTGGAGCATGGAAGCTAGGTGATGATGCGGAGAGAGACAGAGAGAGTGTTAGAGAAAGAGGGAGAAAGAGAGAGAGAGAGAGAGAGAGAGAGATGGGTACCGTGGCATTTCTTGAAAAGCAGATGTTCAATGTTCAGGGTGAACATTGCTTTCTCCGCAGCATGTTTATGGAATCAGGCCATTGGAGCCGCCGGCTGACATGGAAGCCCTACTCGCACCATCGACCGGAAGAACTCCAGATATCCAACTGTCCGTGTTCATTAGCGCCATACGTGCCTCAGTGTCTACATGCACTGTAAGATGTAGATTCTTTCTCCACTGCGGTGGGTTCGGGTCAGCAAAAGCATGTGCTCACAAATCCTTTGTGCATCGCAACATGCAGCCTTTACCAGTACATGCACGCTTCTTGAATTCAGCAGGGATGTGAACCTCGCAACATGCGCAGCGTAGTTGAAGTAGAATATGCAATGCCATTGTGAAAGCAACATCGGTGCGGATGGAAGCCTGCCATGGAGTCCCGGCACACGGCCTGCCTACTTTGCCAGTAGCCTTGAGCCGACTTGCGCATGCTGCTGCTTTCTGCGGCTTGCTCTGCTGCAATGGCCATAGCCCCTGCTGCGGCGTTGAAGCTGACCTCATTCGGCACAACTCTCGCTTGCGGCATGTCGCTCAGAAGTTGGATCGCCCTTTCCCACTGGGTGCCTGAACCACAGGCACTGATCGCAGCGCTGAAGCTAATGACATCAGGCGAGACTCTCGCTGCCGACGGCATCCGTGACAACAGTAGCAGAGCCATCTGCCATTTGCCACCTTTTTCGCATGTGCTGATTAGGGCATTCCAGCTGACCTTATCAGGGGTAGACTGGACCTCGTGCATATAGGAGAGCAGCTGCAGACCCCTCTCCCACTCCGAGCTTTTCTCGACGGAGCTAATTGCGGCACCAAAGCTGATCGCGTTCGGGACCAAGCTGCTTCCGACCATTTGCCAGAGCAAGCCAAGCGCCACCTCCCACTCTGCGCTCTTCTCACAGGCAGTTATTGCAGAACTGAAGCTGAACAAGTTCGGAACAACCTTTGCTGTAAGCATGTGCGCCAGAAGGAAAACTGCAGTTTGCCACTGCGCACCAGCAGCACAAACGCTTATGGCAGAGCTGTAGCTGTAGACGTTGGGTGCAACACGAGCGGCCAGCATTTGCCACAGCATGCCCAACCCGGCCTGCCACTGGCTGCCCTCCTGACAAGAACTGATCGCCGAGCTGTAGCTAACTACGTTTGGCAAAAGCTTTGTGTTGAACATCTGGTGAAAGAAGAGCAATGCGATCTGCCACTGCTGGCCCTTTTCACATGCCGTGATGGCAGCGCTGAAGCTAATCACGGTAGGAAGCGCTTTCCTGGCCGGCATCTCCTGCAGGAGTAGGGAGGCCATCGGCCATTGATGTGCGTTCCCGCAGCATGTGATGACAGAGTTGTAGGTTATGCTGCTCGGCGGGATCTTTAGCATGGGCATGCCGAAAAACAGACTGAGCGCAATCTTCCACTCAGAGGCCCCCTGGCACGAGCTGATTGCTGCATTCAGCGTGACCTCGTTGGCTTGGATCCGGGTCGCCGACATCTTGGCCAGCAGCTTGAGGGCCTTCTGCCACTGGCTATCCGCCTCACAAGCCCGGATGGCTGCACAGTAGCAGTACTCATTTGGGGCCACACGTGACTGGTACATCTGGGCAAGCAGTTGCAGTGCCGCCTGCCACTGCCTTCCCTTGCCACAGGCGCTGATGGCTGCACTGAAGCTGAAAACCTTCGCGGACACCTGGGCCGCTGGCATGATTGCCAAGACCTGAAGTGCGGCTTGCCACTTCTGCGCCTTTCCGCAGGCCGTGATCGCGCCGCACCAGGCAGGCTCGTTCACTGCTTTTGGCCCCGTGAGAAGCTGCAGGGCCTTCTGCCAGGCAACATTGTCCATTGTGTCCTGCCTGGTGCCTGGTGTTCACAAGCACAGTGCTACCTTCTCTGTCCCATCTTGTCTTCTGGGCCGTCACAGCAGTGAATCCACGTATTTCGACCCAGTTCTGAAGAGCTCAGAAGGCCGTCGTTAGTTTTCAGGGCGGGGTGCACTCATCCCGAACTCCACGCCCCCCGAAAAAAGAGCATTCCAACACCTGCAAAATTACAAATGCTAAAGTCCAAATCCATGGCACCAGCACTCAACATCTAAATCCTACCTATGCCCTCCAGCCCCATTGGTCTTCCCACTCCAAATCGTAGCACGGGGTCATCGAGTGCAGACATTCAAGGGATGTACAACTGCAGGGATTGCTTTGAGCAAGTGCATGAACCCAAAGGCTCCATGTAGCTCTATGGTATATACTTAGGGCCCAAAATGGTTCCCATATAACTACTTTAGGGCCCAAGTATATACCATATAACTACATAATCCCTATATAACCCCTATAAATCCCTATATAACCCCTATAAACCCCTATATAATCCCTATACATCCCTATACTTCATATTCATATAACTACATGGAGCCTTTGGGGAACAGCTGGCCTCCAACCCGCTCCTCGAGCAAGCTGCGCGCATGCCGCCAATCCCGGCGAAGAACTCCACAACCCGCAGCGGCCTTGCACCTG